AGTGAACCTATAAAAGTTAAATATGTAACTTGACTCACAAGATTTAGTCTTTTAAAAAATTTTTGTTTTGATATGGAAAACTGCGGTACAAATGATTTGAATTCATACTAAAGAATTGAGGGAGGAGGGGGAAAATAAATTTGATCTGATTACGTTAAAAATGTTTATATAACATCTCTTTCAAATGCACTTAGTAACTCTAATTTAAGTATACAAATAACCCAGTAGACCTCAGCGTTGCTATTTCAGTTTAATCACAGATTCTGATCTAGTGAAATTCGAATTAATGAGGTTATATCAAATTAATAAAATTCTTTTCCTGTGAGTTCATTGCTAGGAAGTGGAATTTCAAAAATTACTTTTCAGCAATTAATAATTATAATTGTGGAACAAGAAAGCATTTACCATGTACTCTAGACCTTAAAATTCTGTGTCTGATATGGATGAACAGAATTGAGTTACAAGACAGCAGGTGCTAATATGTCTTAACTTCAAATGTAAATAAATATAAGATGCCTTTAAAAAAATGTTATTTGTTGTTATAATGAAAGTGATCTTGTGTAAGTTGAAATTCTGTAATAAAAAGACCATCTAATTTGTAGCTTTTGCTTTGATTATGTTTAACTAAATGAAGAGTCCACGTTTCCTTGTATTAGATTTAATATATCAGATTTAAATATTTTTTTAAGGTATCCAGTGCAGGTAAGACACTAGATCCAGTTTATTTACTGACATCTATAAGTGAAATCATCTTTCTAATGTTTTTTTCTTCCTTCTGTTGACTTGCCTTGGTTTGTAAAGTGACAGATCAGACAAATAGAGGGAAAATGATCACTGTTAATGATAACCAAAGTGATACATATTATTGATATTGGTTAGGGCTAGGTTCAAAGATGAACTCTTTAGTTATTTTAAGAAATCAGATGAATGAATACTAATGCTTTTTACGGCACTTTGCTCTTGAGAAAGGTCACATTTAATTACTCAGTAGATTCTCTCAAAATCCTTTAAGAAAAGCATGCTTCTTTTGCAAAATAGACAACAAAGTCTGGCCTGGTAACAGGACCGTGATTCATGTCCAGGTCTTGTGACAGGACCATGATTCCTATGCAGGCCTTCTGACTCTCCAGTGCTGTTCCAGCCACGTTCCTTTTCTCAGTCAGGTGACTCTTCAACCTGACTGAATCTTGTCCAAGAGAGCTTAGTCATGAAATAGCCAAATGGCTTTGTAAGGAGTGTGACCTAATTTCATGATGTTCTCGGAAGGCAGTGTAGAGTGCAGTGTTACTAATCACAAGTAAAATGTAAAATGATGGTGGGCTGATTTGTTGTAGTCAATTACGTTTTATGTTCAGTTTTCATTTTAAATCAAGTGATAAAGACCATGGGGCCACCTCTAGGCATTACAACAAAGAGGCTATGATATGGCAGGCTTGGGGATGTCGTATATTCAGAGTAAATCTCCCCCTAAACGAGAGTAAATCTCAGATGCTTTATTGTTCAGCTTTAAAAGTGTAACCCCCTGCCCCTGCCTTTTTTTTTTTTGTAACTTTCAAAGAATTACTTTGGCATGTTAAATTATTTCACAGGGATATTGTATTTGGCTAAAAACCCATTTCTGAATAACCTGAATTGATTGTCCATATAAATGTGTTTTGCCTGCCCATATAAATACAGTTCTGATTTCAAACTGCGGTTTGAATTAGCGTTCAGGGTTTGTGGCGAGGTGTTCAGAATCTCTGATGGGAGGAGACGAAGGGCGCCCAGGGAAAGAGAGAGTCTGGAGGCACCTTTGAAGTTGGTATTTGACTTTCTTTTCTTTTCTAAACCTTTCCTAGTTAATACCACCCTTCCAATCCCTTACCCCAAATTCTGAGGGCTTTTTTCTAGACTCAAATATCAGAATACCTTTAAATTACTGTTTGAATTTGGAATTGCTCTCTGCATGCCTGCAAGGATATGCAGAGTTACCAGTTCTCTGTCACATTATCTCAGGACTGACTTGTATTCTGATAGTGAGTTTAAGAAATTTTACCCTGTTATTTTGGCCTTAAGGATGTTTTGACCCTAACTTTCAGAACACAGATTTTAATCAAAATTATACCAATATTAATGAGTTTTCATCAAGAAAATATTTTTGACTTGAACTTTAAGACATTTCTTGATCAGTTTTTCACAGAGCAAAATTAAGTTTTTCCAATTTATTTTATTAAAATAATTTTTATCAGAATCAACTCTTTGCTTTGTACATTTTACTCTGAAGATGTCTATTTGTCATTCGGCTTTGTCTCTTTTTTTAGTAAGAGGCAATATAGTGTGGTTATATTCTGGTGATGCTCCAAAGCCATCCTATCCAATAAAAACAGAATGCAAGCTGGGGCTGGCCCTGTGGCCGAGTGGTTAAGTTTGCGCGCTCGGCTTCAGCAGCTGAGCATTTCGCTGGTTCGGATCCTGGGCGCACATGGCACCACTCGTCAAGCCACACTGAGGCGGCGTCCCACGTGCCGCAACTAGAAGGACCCACAACAAAGAATATACAAATATGTACCGGGGGGCTTTGGGAGAAAAAGGAGAAATAAAATCTTTAAAAACAACAAAGAAGAAAACAGAATGCAAGCCATGTGTATCATTTAAATGTTGTTAGTGGCCACGTTACAAAAGTAAAAAGATACAGGTGAAATTAATTTTAATAATATTTTATATACCCCAGTATATCTGGAATATTATCATTTTGACATGTAATCAATATAAAACATCATTAATTTTAGAAAAAAGTAGATAGAAGAAGGGAAATCTCAGAGAAGGAGAAGGTAGGGGTGGGGTAAGTTTGACCTCTGTTTCTCTGCTTCCTTTCTAGAGCTTTGGGGGGTAGTAGGGGAAGATGAAAGAGAAAACTGTCCCCCTCTTTACTCTGGGTCCTACTTTAGCTCGTGAGTGGAATGGTTAATTCAGAACCTCGACAAGAAATTAACTTACTTGCTGTTCTTCCTCTGAATAGTTCAGAGTTCTGTTTGCATTCAGAATGTAGTACTAGAAAAAGCCCAGAGAGCACCATGCGTTCGGTATACATGTGCCTATTAAGAATCTAAAATGTCCTACTTACTTAGACTTTAATAATAGTCTTGTTCTCTCCCTTTCTTTCTTTTTTTAATGTCCAAGTTTAAATTCCTTACTGGAAAGACAGGAAAGGAAATGTTTGTAGTAGATTTTCCGAACACAAACCTTGCTTTTATAATATGGTTATGGCAACCATCTCTATTTTGGTAAAGTTAGCATATTATATGAATTACATTTTGCAATTTAGATTTTTGCAATTTAGAAAAACCACAAGCTACTGCACACAGTTAAACCGGACATTTTGTATATACATTTAGTACTGTAAATCAGAATTTTAGGTATTGTACAGACAGAATGAAAACATAAAGCAGATGGACCTGGCCTAATCTGTAAGGTTCAGAGAAAACTTCTTTGAGGAAGTGACCTGGGAACTGAGACATGAAGAGTGAATAGGAGTTAATAGGCAGTGCCAATGGAAAAGAGCTTTCCAGGCAGAAGAAAAAAACATTTGCAGAAGTCTTGCAGTGGGAATTGAGAGTCTAGAAATCAACCATACATTTATGGTCAATTGAATTTCAACAAGGGTGCCAAAAGAATAGTTTTTTCAACATATGGTGCTGGAACAACTGGATATCCACTTGCATAAGAATGAAGTTGGACCTCTATTTCAGACCATGCACAAAAATTAACTCAAAATGGATCATAGACCTTCATTTTAGAGTTAACACTATAAGACTCTTAGAAGAAAACATAGGAGTAAATCTTTGTGATGTTGAGTTGGACAGTCGTTTCTTGGATGACACTAAAAGCACAAGCAACAAAAGAAAAAATGAATTAGACTTCATCGAAGTTAAAAACTTGTACTTCAAAGGATACTATCAAGAAAGTGAAATGACAACCCACAGAATGGGAGAACATATTTTCAAGTCGTATCTGATAAGGGAATTTGCATCTGGCTACTCCTGGGAGAATCAGCACAACTCAGAGGACATTTGTGGAAGGCCACGGTGTCTGGGGAGCGTGGTCTCGATTTGAAGAGTAGGGCTCTGCTGGCGCAGCCTCTGCTTCATCTCTTTCAGAACCGACTCGTAATCTAGCCTGTAGTTCATTATCTCCTTGGGCTAAAACTGTCCGTCTCTGGGGTGACAGGTGGAAAGCCCGTGGGCCTGGCTGAGGGCTCTTTAGTCTAGGAATCCCTGGCCGTGTGGCATGGTTGATATCTCCTGTTGTGATTCTAGACTTCACCTTTAATACTGCTCAAATTCCAACTCTTCCACCAAGCTTTTACAGATTTTGCTTCCTGTTTAAATAAATAGACTTTCAAAATAAAATAGTCCAAACGTCCTTCTAAATGAGTCATAACCTATAGTAGTTTGATTAGTATGTTAGAACCAGTGATCTGAATTGTGTTTGGCAATTTATTACCCCAGAATACTGTGCCCTCTTAGCTACATCCTGAACCATGTGTTAGAGCTGCTACAATTACATCCATGGTTGTGTTAGAAACTCTTCTTAGTCATTTCACCAAGAAACAGAGTCCAGCCAGGAAAAAGGAAAATCTAAAATTGTCCTTTCCACTTCTTCCCATTAAAGAGTGGCTCTGGAAATGTTTCAGCAAGAAAGCAGTGGTGAAAATTTCTTCCTTACTGTTAAGTTTCTGAAGAGAATGAAAACCTTTTTTTGGTTTTTAAATTTTCTCTTAGAGAGTTGATTCCTTTATTGGGGTTAAACCATGTGAATTAGTGTGTACTCTGACCCCCAGGTAATTTCTGTACCAGAGAGCCTAGTTCCCTGAACCAAAGAAGAGATGGAAGTAATTGAATATTCCTGATTAGAATAAGTGCATATATTCACAATTCACACTAAAGATGTACTCTCATTATGTGCTCATCTAGACTGTTTTAATCAGTTAATGACTGTCTTTATTCACATGTTCTAAACAGATCAGCTCCGACAAGAAATGCTGGATGAGGTACAGAAGAAACTGATGAACTTGGTAAACAGCACAGAAGGAAAAGTGGACAAGTATGCTATGCCTTTTAACTTTTATATGTTTTATGGAGATTACTTTTATGGCAAAAACATCTACATGTAGATGTTTATATGTGATGAAGTTTTTAAAAAGCCTTTTCTTTTTCTTAGGTAGTGATGAGGTGTAGGTGGTTTTAATGAGGGGTCAGCAGAATAACTTCTCTTGTCTGGGTTTTAATAGGTCTTTCTCAACTCAAATTCTTCTTCTCAAAACCATGTGGAAGAGTTGAAACATCACCACAATATGATGTACTTAGAAAATAAACACTTTATTCTTAGCGTTCGTTTTTGCTGTCTTTACTGTCCTTAAATGAACATATCTTGCTCAAATGTATTAGGTCTGAAGCCTAGGTATATATCTAATATATCATTAATATTTTAAAGATTTAGATATTATTAGCAAATTATTGATAAATGTGAATGGGGAAGTAAAAGCATAACTATTAAGCACAAGAACTATCATCACCATTTTAAGTAAGGAGGGAAAAATCTGAAGTGTCTCCTTAAGATAGACGTCAACCCAGACAGGCACTGAGAATACTAACGAGGCACCATCTCAGTTGAGTATTTACTTGAAGAAAGTGGGTGGCTATTAAGTGATGTTTTAGAAGGTAGACATTTTGGGTTGTTTGAGATATTCTTTTGTATTTCTGTGGCATCCATTGTTGAAATGTTCTTAATTAGACTTGTCAAGATTTTTTTAAAAGTTACTTTAAAATATTTTATTGTTTGGTGTTTTTTATAATTATCATTTAAGTATAAATATTTATATGATTAGTGTTTATTGTTTGGGTATACTGAATATTTGGATGACTGTTGAGTTAGCTTGAGCTGCTTCTGTCTTCATTTTCTTAGAGTGCTAATGAGAAACCTCTTCATTGGACATTTTCACACACCAAAAAATAAGCGTCACGAAGTATTACGATTAATGGGAAGCATCTTGGATATCAAAAGGGAAGAAATGGATCAGGTAACTGAACAGTGAAAGACATTCTGAATACGTTTATAACTAAAATAGTGCCATCATATAAAATTGTTTTCTTTTACTTTATATTATATAACTTTTCCTGAATACAGTTTTCTCAATAATGTGGAAATGGAGTCATTTCATACTATAATGAAGAAGTGGATTTGTCCAATTTGTATATTAATTTAAATATTTTGTAACTTATAAGCCCCCTCTCATATCAGAATGCTGAAATTTTAAGACAGGACAGTCCTCATCTTTTATTCAAAGTAGTGCTTGGGATGACCTGTCATTGTGTTTGTACCCTTTATCAGTAGGAAACATACATTTCATCATATTTGTAGCCTGTGTCAGTAGGTAACGTTTACTAGGAATTGCACTTGAAAAGTGTGGTTTACTACATCTGAAATCATATAAAAATTGTTCTTATTTTTTCTTTTCTAGTATTGATAATATTTTTCTGTTTTAAAATAATCTTTCAGTTGTTGAATGAAGATCAGGGCGGTGTCACCAGGTGGATGACTGGCTGGCTTGGCGGAGGATCAAAAAGTGTCCCCAACACACCTCTGAGACCAAATCAGCAGACTCAATATAATAGTGTAAGAGCTGGTTTTTCTTGCTGAGTATGAATGGTGAAGTGATTGTATATCGCATTCATTTGCAAAGAATCAGATTTCCTTTTTAGGTTATTTTATACAGCCCTTTCATTTTAGAGTTGTGGAAACTGAGATCCTGAGAGGGGATTAGCTTAAAGATAATAAGCCAATTTTAATAATTTAATTTCATATATTTTATTTATCTGGTACTTTTATTTTTCAAGGTATTAACTCTTCCTTTCTTTGTATTTGGTCATGCTGCTCTAGGCACACGATCATTTGTTTGTCTTATGACTAAATTATCAGATTCCTGAAGACAGGCTCTGTTTTCTCCGTGTGTGTATCTCCCTAGTCATTGAGCTAATGAATACTTAGTGAGCACTTGCTGTGTACCAGACTGTCCCAGGCACTGGGGATGCAGCAGCAAAGCAGACAGACAAGTGCCTGCCGTCAACCAGCTTACATTCTGGTAGGAAGAGGCCTCTAATAAACACGAAAACATAGTGCCTGGTGTGTAGTAGCTTGAGATGAATGTTAATTGAATTGAGTAGTAAGTTAGAACGTGACATTTATTTCTTTCTTTCTTTATTTTAATAAAGAAGAAACTGAGGATAGATGCCTTACCCAGAGCTCATTAAAGATAAAACCTTGTTTTAAATTGGATGGCATGAAATTTAATTTAAAGGAAAGGTCTACATTATGTTATTTTAATCTGATACTACTGTTGGTAGCAAATGCTATATTCATTGATTGTTACTTTAGAAAGATATGACTGTTTACTACTAGTATTCTGTCAATATAATTTTTTATGTCTATGTAAACACTTATTAAAATGATTTAAGACTTGATATCTTAAGTGCCATTGATGGCAAGAAATCTGTTATCAGATGGCTAATTCTGACCATAAGGTTTGTAATGAGTGTTGTCATCAAAGATTATTGATTAAATTGTTAAAGTTTTTAATTGATACCTACGTAACTGAAGTGCTAGCAGTTTTAAATTGTTCATAAAGCTTATTTATAAAGAAATGATTCAGATGGCATGATTAGTTTTTAATATTTAATTAGAACAGCTGGCACATTTTTTTAGTTGTATTGAATATAATTTTAAAATCTGACGTATATAACCCAAATATTTTCTTCTTAGTCTTTTTCAGAACTTTTTGTAAAATTTCTGGAAACGGAATCTCATCCATCTGTTCCACCACCAAAGCTTTCTGTTCATGATATGAAACCTCTGGATTCACCAGGAAGGAGAAAACTAGATACAAATGTACCAGAAAGTTTTAAAGGTAAAACCAGATATTTATTTTTTCTATAATTTAAAAAAATCAAATGCTTAATTTATAATTATGTTTTACAGTGATATTAACGAAATTCTTAGTGTTTTTGAAAATGTGCAGTGACTTCTTCCCAAATTCCAGTAAGGCATTAGGTTTTGACTTCATATATTCTTAGCGATAGAAATCTGATATTTAATTGGCTTAGATTAATTTAAACAACATGAAATATTTTCCCTTTGTGTTTCAGAATAATTATTCTCTCTGCATAAGCCACTTTGAATTATTCTTGGAAGTAGTGGTGAACTGGTAAACCTTTGCTTGGTCACCTGTTTTCCTTTCTCACTAGTGGTGCTTATTGCTAATCAGAGTTAGAAGTGTAGTTTATAGTTAGAGAAAGATTTTTTTCACTGTGAATATCTAAGTGTTACACTCAGTTACCAAACCTTGGTATGTTAATAACCTTTATAAGAGCAGTTCAGTAAACTGGCTTAGACATCCAAGAAGGTGGTGAGGGTCTGCCTGGAAGCAGATGGTTTGGTGGTTCTGCAATATGTGTACATAGTTTTCTATCCCACTGGGTTGTAAGGGTCTTATTTATACTCATATCCCCTATATTGGTATTAAGTAAAATTTCTTGAGTTGAAATTGAAGTATAATCCATTAGACCATAGATTCTTTATTTTATCTGAAATCTTCATATTTTAATATGGATTAACATGTTTGCTAGTTGGATTGTAAAGGTATTGTTATTATACACTCAAGTTTATATCACATATCAGATACTTAAATTTGGATAAAATGTTACAAAATTTATATTCTGAAATTTTAAGAACTTCCTTAGTCATTTAGACAAATTATTTCTATTTTCCTGAACTTTTATAGATGGAGAAAATGGTAAAATTTGTTGTTTAGGTAAAAGGTTTGGCTGCTAAATTTAGTGAAAAGTCTTAACTTTATCTAACAGGCGTAGACTATACAAAACTTTTCTTGTTAGACTAGATTGTGGCATCTTGAAGCGGCTTCCAGAATTCATTACGACACGGTCTGCCCCTCCACCCTTCCCTTCTTCCCTCTCCGCCCTCTGTCCTGCTCTCCCCAGCTTCAGTTATCAAGTCCTGTGCGCAGCTTGACTTGTGTTGATCAGAGACAAAAGCCAGCGATGTTCTGAGTTGGTATAGGGTTTGCATGAAAAAAAGCAAGCTTAGTCTTTAACCCTGGATTTGGAAGTGTGTGGTGAGGGTGCTGCTAAGTAGCACCAGAAGCTTTTCCAGAGTTTGGGAAGTTGTCATTCACAGGAAAGCGCAGCTTGGGGACCTAGGCGAGATCGATGATGAGTAAATTTGATGAATTTGTCTCATTGCTCTCTTTGTTTTAGAGTCTTCTTTTATTTGAATTTCCCGTTGAGAAAGTGGGCACCTTCAAGGGGTTGCTTGACTCTTAACAGTAAGGTTGTTGGTGGTCTTGGGTAGTAAAGCAGAATTTTATCCACTCAGCATTAGGACATAAACCAAATACCTGTTCCGATAAAAACCAATTGTTCCGCTAACTTTATGGAGACATGATTTGATCAAGAATTGTTTTCAAACCTTTCAATGTCTAAAAGATGATCTGGTAATATAATCCATATATTGGTTTTTCTTTGGGTAAGTTAATATGAAATCTGATTGTTATCAATGTCATATGGGTGCCAGTTCTTTTCATGAGCATCATAATTATTTGGGGGAAACGAGTTCTCAAGTCCATCTTTCAGATGAGTAGAGAGTTTGCCTTGTAACATGGGAAGCGCCTTTTAAAAAGCTGTTACTGTAGTAAATGCGGTTTATCAGTTATGTAACTGGTATTTAAATACAGAACAACAACATTAGTGTGTTTGGTAAGGTATAAGCTACACACACATAATCATCTCTCCCTGCCTCCTCCCATTCCTCTCTTACTGTCTCATCCTCCCGCACCCTTTTATGTTCATAGACCCTGCTTGTCGGATCCAGAATCCAGCAGCATCTGAATTAAATTTATTTAGGGGCAAAATCTGGGAACCTGAAACGCATGTACAGCGTTGACTAAAAAAAATGTAGGAGACTAAACAATTGCTATTTTATCCTTTAGATACAGCCGCATCCAGGTCAGGTAGAAGGGCAGATGTGAGTCCGTTCCTGGCGCCCCGCTCTGCGGCCGTGCCTCTCATCAACCCAGCTGGACTTGGACCTGGCGGGCCTGGGCATCTTCTTCTGAAACCCATCTCAGACGTGCTGCCCACCTTCACTCCTTTGCCGGTGTTGCCGGACAACAGCGCTGGAGTTGTGCTGAAAGAGCTTCTCAAGCAGCAGTAGCTGCTTCTCAAGGCAGAGACGACACACAGAGCACTTTAAAGAAAACGTGAACACTACATGGATGTACTTGATCACAAGTGGCCTTTTGGGAACAGTCATGTGTTTGTTTTCAGTTGTACTTTCTCTAAATTTAATAAAAATATTCTTATCTTAATTTTTAAAAAATACTCTGAATACTCTTAGAAATTGCAGGTGTCCCAGGAGGAGGTGTTTGCTCTGTTTGCTTTTTTCCTTCTCTGATTAGACCTAATTTAAGTTAGAAACATTTGATCTTTTCTCTTAATTTACAAGAATAAGGAAAATAAAAAGACAGACAAAAGTACCAGTAGCTCTATATCAGCTCTTTCTCATTTTCAAGCTCTTTTAAGCTAGAGACGTGGCTTATCTTTTAAAGATAATCAAGAGATTTACAAAACAAAAAGAGGAAGAAAATAGTACTGGCCTATCTGCATAGTGCAGAAAATTGATCGGAAACATATAGTAATCTTCAGAGAATTTTGTGTGGACAAGCCAAGAACAAGGTTGTCCCTGGGAGGTCGTAGTGTCCTGAAGTGGGATGTGTGTGTATTCCTTTCTATGCAGTCTTGTCACATGTGCAGCTCCATGTGACCACCACTGCAGCACAGCTGCAGAACAGTTTCATCAAGGACCCCTCGTGCTCCCCCTTTATAATCATAGCCACCTCCTTCCCTACCCTCCTCCTCAGCCTCTGGCAACCACTCGCTGCTCTCCGGCGCTATAACTTGCTCATTTCAAGAGTGCTGTATAAATGGAATCATACAGTCTGTGACCTTTTGAGATTGGCTTTTTTCACTGAGCTTAATTCCCTTGAGATCCATCCACATGGTTGCGTGCATCGGTAGTTTGTTCTTTTTTACTGTTGAGTACATATTGTAGATATGTGATTTAGTTTGAAGAGCTAAGGTATCTTTCTAAAGGTTCCATTTTAAAACTGTTTGCTCACCCACATGCACACAACTCTCATGTAAGTGTTAAATCGTACAGCTGCGTTTATGTGACTATAATTAGCAATATCAGTACACGACGCCTCCTGCCTCTCTCTGAGGTGTTGATACGAGAGGTTGTCAAGCCAGAAGTCATCCGTTCTCGTCTTCGTGGTCATGAGGGATGAAGTCACTTCAGCGTCACCAACACCAGGTGTTTGGAACTTAAAAGTAAGGGAGTATTTCTTTAATTTTTTATAAACGTCATAAAAATCTTGACTTGGAACTTAATTATATCAGGATGTTCATGTTTGTATTAATTGTTGAAGTTGTACATTTAAAGACATTTCTTGCAAATTTTGTAAATTTCAATATGCCTTTCAAATAGAAGCATCTGTGTAAACAAGGGAAGGTGGTGATAATACTGATCAAGTATGTCAACAGGCCTCCTCCGGCCGGGGCTGAATCTGGGTGTTTGTAAACTTTGCCGTGGTTAACTGTGCGCTTTCTGCTGTATTTAGAAGACCGGAAGTCTTTATGTGTTGATGGGTAAAATTTTTCTGAAAAATTTAGTAACTGAGACATTGCTGCTTCAGAACATCCACTGTCTCCTTAGCTAATTTATTTATATTGCCATTGTTATTTCCTACACTTTAGAGGAAGTTGTCATACAAGTTCTATATTAGAACTGTCGAACTGCCTCCTGTCCGTTTTGCCCAGTATTTCTCTATGAAATTATTACTCGTAGGTTTTATATGATCCTTTCGAAGATACTTTGACCTTCCTAAATTATTTGCTGCTTGCCATGGAAGTTTCATTTCAGTGTGGAGCATCTGAAATAAAAGTTTCTGAGTTAAAAAAAGACATGATCCTTCATTTTGAAGAAATAGAACAAGCAGAAAAACTTTCTGTTTTAATTTGAAAAGGAGATGTATGATGGGTATTTAAGTAGCATGTCATCATATTTTAGATGCCTCTTATGACGTTGTGAGTATTTCCTTCCCTGCTCGAAACAGCCTGTCCCCCTCACCCTGTCGTTGAACCTAAGTCTCGGAGCTCCTGTGGGTGGATTGCGTATCCAGACATCACAGCATGAGCTTACATGGCTGCTGTGGAACTGAGTATGTGGCCTCGTCCTAAAGCTGCAGCACCTCATGTTTCAGCTGTATCAGCACTGAGACTATAGCGCACTGGTCTGCAAGCTAAGTGTGTGTGGATCTACACCAGACAGAACTCATCTACTTTTCTGAAACTAAGTTGTGTCGGAGATGAACCATCTGCTCAAGGAATCTCAGTAACCCTATGGTGATGAAGCATGTAATTCTCATGTTAGCAATAGGACATTGCTAACAGGAATTTTACTGCAATATTGTAACTACAGTAGTTTTACTGTTTACTTCTCTATAAACTCACTAGAATTTGTGGTTGAATTTTGCCTTCACGGCCACAGGTTTTGACAACATTCCTAATGGTTTTCAACTGCTCTACTATAGTAGAAAATCCATCCAGCCATGGGATTTGACTTCATTATAATCCTGCATCATAGGGTTGTCTGAGTTTTAGTTCCTGCTATTATTGATTTAAAAGAAAAGAAGAAACAAAACCAAAACTAAACAGCGAAAACATAGGGAAAAAGGAATGACTTCCTTAAAAGCAGCCAATTATATGAATATCCCCCCAAATAAAGCCTCCAGGTTAATTGAAAGAGGGAAAAAGATTCTCAAAATACTTAATCAGTAAGTGGGAAAAAAACAGACTATATCTTAGGGGATGGGATTGATGGGAATTATTGAGAAAGTGCAATTGTGTGTCAAACAAATTTAGCATTTGAATTTGATTTAAAGCTAATGAATTTTTTCATATATCAACGTATTTGAAGTGTCTTCCATCAAAAAAGTTTATCTTTAATTTTGTAAATATCAAGTATAACTGATATTTATTTTATATATTCCTATGGAAAAAGCAATGATACTTTTACTGTTCTGACATTTGTGATTATTTGCCACTCTTTACTTTTTAACTTATTAAGGTTTCTCTACTTAAAATGGATAAGTTGTCTTTTGATTTTTAGAGGCATATCTAAATGTGGGAAATTTACAACCCAACCTTAATATTGAGTTATGTTTTATAGAGCTAACGTCAATGCATTTCTGAATTTCTCAGGAGCACTGCAAGGCAAAAAAAATACTCCAAATAAAAATGATATATGTAAGTTGGCAATGTCTTCATCCACAATAAAAAAAATTTTTTAGCAAACAGCTGCTGACTTTTTCTTTAGAAGGGGGAGAAATGACTCACACATGTTTATAGCTGAGTTGATGAACTACTGAGGCGACTGTCTTCAAGTGCTCACCGGATGTCTGCTGCTGGGGTGCCACTGGAGTCTTGGAAATGTTAAGAAAGAACGATTTATAGATGCTCAAAATTATGTATGAAAAGAGGATCTCAGAGGTTTCAGCTAGCCTTTTTTTTCCCTTCGGAGGTGGTACTATGTGTCATTGGGCTTTTGGTCTTTCTGCAAGATAATCAATTACGTCTTCATTTTTTCTTAGATGTGGAACTTGAATATTTTCTTTAATTGAGGTCATAATAGTTTATAACGTTTCGAAATTTCAATTGTATGTTATTATTTGTCAGTCATCATTCACATGTGCCCCTTCACCCCTATTCGCAATCCCCAACCCCCTTCCCCTCTGTGACCACCGATCTCTGGAAGTTGAATATTTTTAACTGTTCATATGATGGTGGGATTGGAAGGAACGTGGGTTTTAAAGTTGAGAGATGGATTGGAGTACTAATTTTGACCCTTTCTGTCTGACCTCTAACAAAATTAGTTTGATTATGGGGCTGATTTTTCTCATCTCTGAAATAAGATTCACATAGTAAACGCACAGGGCTGCAAGGATCAATGGACACGCTCATTCGTAACAGTTAGTAAAAGAGTAAATGCGCCACCTGTGGGAATGCTTAATAAAGTCTACAGTTCTACACAGACGTTAGAAGTTGTGATTGTTACTGCCAAACAGTGGATAAGCATGCCAGAGTGGGGCGTTACTGAGGCCAAGGGTTGTTTCAAGAAGGTAAGGAGAGGTGGAAAGGGTGAAGGTCTTGCTGCTCTGGTGAGAGAAGCTTTAAGAAGAGTCCACTGGATTTAGGGACCATGAAGTCGTCGGCTTTGACTTAGAGCAGTGCTGGTGGAAAGTGGGAGCAAAAGCCATATTGTTAAGTGGGTTGAGTAGGTGATGAGCAAGTGGAGATAGTGTTGCAGGTACCTCTTCTGAGAAACGAGATTTTCAAGGGGAAAGAGGACGTAAGCACGAGACGAGTGGACTGGGAGACTGGAGCAGGTGTTAATGCTTACAGGAAGGACGCAGTTTAGATGGAGAGGCTGAAGAGAGTGGAAGAGAAGAGCTCCTGAGACGGGGAACTGATGGAGTCTGAACACATGGAGGGATTGGCCTTAGATAGGAAGGACTCCTTTAGTGGGGCAGGGAGATGCTGATAGCAGGTGCATTTGGGTGGAGGGAAGTTGTGGGGATTTTCTTGTGTGGGGTTGGCAGGGAGCTTTATCTGCTAAAAGTGAGCGGGGGTGGGGTGGTGTCTGAGGTTTGAGAAACTCACAGTCAAGTGGGAGAGACAGACGCGTGCAGATTACTAGAGAAGTGGGAGAAGTGCTCGTGGCACACGTGCCAAGTGCTTGGAGGCTCTGAGTTGGGCCTGGCAGACCAATGGGAGGGAGAGTGGTTGTTAAGCACGTCTTGAAGCAAAATTTGAGCACCCTAGAAGGAAGCAAGCCAGCAAACAAAATGTCAGCAAGAAGTCAAACAGTTCTTGCCTTAACCAATTCTACTGGAATACAAGATGTTATTTAATCTGAACCTTGTTTTCCTGTTCTTTCGATTTAGGTCATGTGAATATAAGATCTATCTGAGGGTTTTACAGCCTGTTATTCTCACAATTTAATGCATCCAGTAAATTAATAATCCATTATAATTACCACAATATTTGTTTTGGAGATAAAGAAAAATTCAAGAATGTTAATAAATGGATCATTTAAGGCAAATATTTGAACCTTTAGTTGGTTTTCTGCCTCGGCTATTTCTGTGCATCCGTCTTTTAGCCCTCCTGGGGTTAAGAAATTAATAATTTGCACTATAATGATATTTTAGCTGTGACAATCTTCAGCTGTGGCTGTTTTTGCAAGAGTACTCTCCTTTTCAGCTCTAACATTTTTTGACTTCAGTAAACTATTTCTGACCCTCAAAAATTAAATCTCAGTGATTGAAAATATTTGTGAACTTAATGTAAGTAAGAGTTTGTAAAGTTGTTTCTGGATATCCTTGGATTGTTAAAAATGTAAGATACATTATTTTTTGTAAAATATAAGGCATTTCAATGTTGGAGGACATTGTGAGAAGTTTCCTTCAAATGATGGCAAGTCAATCTCAGGCCCTTCTTGACCTGCCAGTCAATGGGCGTCCATTCTCAAATGCGTACATTTCCTAAAGGGCGGGGCCCATCCCAGGTGGTGAAGGGAAATAGGCTTCCTTTTAAAGAAAAGACTTGGAAACAAAGTAACATGAATTTGCTTCAGGTTTCCTATGCGGCTCCTTCCACCTAGGTGTATTTAAAACACCGCGGTATCATCTGTGAGTGAACACATTACTCCCTTTATAAATAAGGGATTTTCAAGCTCTCTCTCCGAATAAAAAGGGGGTGGTGATGATAAAGTTACAACTTCTACACTTAATGAGGTGATTTCTTTTTATTTTTGAAAACTTACATGGAATGTGTAGTTTTTGAAAGTGTTTGGAATCATTGCAAAGTCATCTCCCTAATGCTTTTGCCACATGGCTTGCACATTTAGGACTCGTGTGGTCTAGATCCGTGCCTTCCACCCCTGCGGTTCTCTTCAGGACCGCACTGCCCGCTGCAGTGCCTGGGCAGGAAAATACTGATCACCGTGAAAATCCATTCTCCACAGAATTGCTCTTCGAGACATTAAGACTTCCATTTTTATAAGTCTCTTCACTTTTTTTTTTTTTTTTAAGTCTCTTCACTTTTATTTTTTTCCCTTTGGACATTAGTTTTACTTGGTGAAAAGTAGTTTTACTCCTGCTTTCATCCTTTAATATTTGTGTGTGTCAAATATTTCAAACATTTAAGACTAGACGATAAATACACTAGCAGGGACATCTGGCTATGGCAGTGTGAAGAGGCCGGCCAACCCAACCTGCAAAAAACAAATAGAAAACCAAAAACATGGTCACACATTATTTTGGGGGCTCTGGTAATTGACCAAAGGCGGACTAGAAATTGAAAATTGTTGATTTTTGAAAAATTTCTTGAGCTTCAAGTAAGAACTGCTGGAGTCTGTAGCCTTCTTGCCTGGGGCTTCCCCCAACCCCCACCAACCCTCCCAGTTTTTCTAGCACCGAGCCCATCAGGAAAACCAGCAGCTTTGTTGCCTTCTGGGGGTGGACCCAATGGTGGGGAGGTGGAGGCTGTGCAAAAACCATGATTTTGTCAGTTGAAAGTGGTGAACTTGGGGAGGCCGGCCTGGAGGCATAGAGGTTAGGTTCGCATGCTCCACTTTGGCAGCCCAGGGTTTGTGGGTTCAGATCCTAGGCACAGACCTACACACCTCATCAGCCCATGCTGTGGTGGCATCCCCCATACAAACTAGAGGAAGAATGGCACAGATGTTAGCTCAGGGTCAATCTCCCTCACCAAAAAAAGAAAAAGAAAGTGGTGCGCTTAGAAGCAACTGTGGAGAAAACTCAGCTCTGCTAGCCTGAGTCCAGTTAGGGCAAGGGACCGACCAGTGGAAATTTAGTGGAGAGACCCTAGAACTGAGAAAGCCGTGGAAGGGCCCCAGCTGATGCACAGACCTGACTCACATGCAGAGAAGACCCGAGGGAGCCTGTGGGAAGAAATACCCCAGCTGACGTGAGACTGGCCTTTGAGCATTTCTCAGTCCACACACACATCCATGGGCGATGGATGGAAGCCACGTGGGCCGGAGGTGTTCACCGAGCACAGCCTCTGCTGCCCCTTGAGCTGTGCGGGAGCAGCCTCTGGGAAGCCAGAGTGAGAGAGAAAAATGAGAATAGGAAAACAGCAGAGTCTCCCAGGGGGGAGACAGATTCCTCAGTTTAAATCTAATCAAGTTTTTTAAAAAAACAGAAAAATACATCAGAATCAATAGCTGCTGCAATATAATCTAAATTGTCCAGATTTCAACCCAAAATTGTGAGTAATGCAAGGAAGAAAGGGTGACCCATACTCAGGAAAAAAGCAGTCACTGTGGCCTAAATGTTGGATTTCGCCCACGAAAACTTCAAAGCAGTGATTGTACATACAAAAATTACAGGAAAGTTTGTTCAAAGGATACAGAAAAAACACTTGCAGACTCATTACCCAGCTGTCGCAAATCTTAACATTATGCCATATTTCCTAAAGAAGTTTTAAAACTTTTTATTAGAAAAAATTTCAAACACAGACACAAAAGAGAGTAACATAATGAAGCCACGTACCCATCGCCCACTTCACTGATGATCAACTCAGGATTATCAACTCTCCTCTTGTACCACCACCTGCTTCCTTTGTTTCTTTTGAAAGTATTTTCACATGGCATGTCTTAAAACTGTAACAAATGAGGAGCCAATCTTGTTACTTTTTGTAGGACTGTAAGAGATGGTGGAACAGTGTATGACTTTCCTGTTCCCGAACTCTCCAGGAATGTTGTTGAAATCAGACATCCCGTCTGGATACAGAGAGCAGCTTACATGGTTTCTCCTACATTTGATGTTAAAAGTCCTCTCTTCTATGCAGTATGATGATATATATCTTTTATGATATATAATAGTTACACATATTTTGTACTTTTATTTGGCAAAATGAAAAGTTGACAGCATAATATTGTTCCAGTTTTGGAGGGGGTTGATTTTACTGGTCTGATAAATTCAAGAATCTGGGAGCCACCAATCTTATTGTATATAGATTGTATATAGGAAAAGAGGTAATTTGAACATCATCCTATTATAAAATTATATTAGATCGTTTGCCCCAAACCTCAATCCATATTAAGGGTTAGAAAACAAAAATGAAACAGAGATGGCAAATAGAAGAATGTCGTTAGCTATTTTCTTGGGTGCAACCCTGGGGCTCCGTGACAAACAGTGTGCTTGCCTGCAGTGTTTTGTCGTGGGGGTTCCATATTCTACACGTGTTATATGTTAAAACCACAGTCAGTT